CCTTGCGGAACACCAGCATTTATGATAAGAGAGTCAGATGAAACTCCGTCGACCACTGTGACATTCAACATGATACACTGAATTATATTAATGAAGAAAATATGGCTATTCAATAGCTGAATATCCTTCATCTATATTTGAAATTCATCTAAATGTTGGTAACTACACTTTGAAGTTTCTTTCAAATAATTTGTCCGTTAAATGGGTAACTGTTGGTCAATAATCGCTATCAATTAAAAAAATATATATACAGTGAGTGCGATTTCAAACCGCAACATCCATCTAATTTGAAACCCGTCGACCGATTTACAAAATAATGAATACAATAATATAGAAAGCTCTATTCGAGAATGTGAATAAGTTTGAAATATTCAGATTTTCAAGGCCTACCTACTTTTGTTTGCTGATGGGTTAACATTTCGAAAACGACTATGAATCAGTTTTGCTTTACAATCTGTGACTAACCTTTCCCATTCAGGCAAAGCTGAAATATCCCTTTTTGAGAAAGGTTGTTATTATCAGTGCTTAAGGCTCTATAATATAAAAACATAAAATCATTATAAGTCACAATAGAACCTTATAAAATAGAGGATATCAATGAAGCAATTATATCCCTTTGTCACAATAAGGGAAGATAAGGAAATTATGTACATCTCTCAGAGGCTTCTTGATTTTTATCATTATTTGTATTCTACTGTGTGTATTTGACTTGTATTGAACATGATGTAATGTTCTGTCCCTAATACTAAATGATTTCTATTCTATCATATCCTATTCTATACTATTCTATTTGAAATTTGAACGCAAAATCATATACAGGGTGTTGGGTGTTCTATGGCAAATTTTGATATTTTTGATTTGCTCGATTCATTCTGTAACAAAATCTAACGAGTTAATAGGTATAACCCGTGAAGTAGAAATTCAATGAAGAAGCACAACGAATACTTGGATAAAAAGTTTCATCATTGTAACTTCGACAGGAAGATCTCTGTAGGTCAACCAAAAATTAATAAAACTGAAGTTGAGGTTGACCATTTCAAAAACTCAAGTAAGCCGTTTTCGTCTCGATTGATGAAGAGCTGTCGTATATAACACTAATGGAATGACAGACAAACACTCTCCAAAGACTGCAAGGAGATGGAGATATATACTGATGCTTGATGTGATCATAATAATATTTTTCAGGAGATATGTCCATACCTCTTTTCTCCATGAATTGAATAACGTCAGCCTTTTTCCTGTTGGTGCTCGGTATTTTCGTTTGTTGACGTGAATGGTATGACGCATAATCCATAACGATGACTGTATTCTCTGGAATATTTGGTATAAGCTGCTGCTCTGCCCATTTCTCAAATAATTCTGCCGTCATATCCTCGTGATAATCGGCATAGGATTGCTTGATATTTTTGGCAGACAACAACAATGCATTGTCGACAAATTCAATTTCATTGCTGGCGTGAGGGATTATAATTCTTTTGCCTCTCGAACTCGGACCACTCACATTACAGTTTTTGCTATCATCTACCCGTAACCGTATTGAACAACTTCATGAGTGTCAAACCACGTTTCATTTAGATAAATGATAGGTCTATCGCTTCACGGTATTCCTTTATTTCACGTAGATATTCTTGCCGATGGTCTACGATGCGTCTTGATTCCATAATCACCATTCTTTTGTCGTATTTTTTATGGCTGAACCCGCAATCTAGTAAAACAATTCACAACGTACTTAACGATTTGTAATCATAATCCGCGTATTCATTCAACTCATCCCTGATATCTGGCAATTTTGGCACCTTATTGTCATTATACAATCTATATATAATTCGACGAATTACTTCTTCCGAAGCATCATCAAGCTTCTTGAGTTTCGTCCCACTCTTTTTCGTTCAACTTCATGATCTACAACATCTCCGGTTCTAATATCTCTGTATATGGTGGTATAGCTTATTATAGTTAATTCCTGTATTCTCTTTTCAAGTTGGTTTTCTGAAGAATCATTATTCTCATCCTTGAGACGGGAATAGATATTTAAAATTACCCTTTGCGCTGGAACGTGTGAGTCTTTATTGGCGAACTCCACTTGCTCTTCCTCCGAATCACTATATCACTCACTTCGTTGACTTCCTCAAAAAGCCTCCAGAACACAAAACCACTATGATTGAAATAATGAATTTTCTGAATTTCGAGTTGAACCAATGAAGACAATCTCGTACCGCACTGCCTAGCGCAGGCTAGAAGATTCTTATCACACAGGAGGCCGCCCATGCAACTCTGACCAATCAACATCCAGTATAGTTTGGAGAAACCAATAAGACGCGGTTTCTATCATGACAACGCTTGTCCAGTCCACGTTGACTGCACAGGCTGCATACCGGGAAAGCTCAGTAGAAAATATCTCAGTCATTCCTATTCAAATATTAAGCAAATCGACAAATCCTCGTATCTTCTTAAAAACGGAAGTTTTTCAACTGACTTCGCATATACTATAGATAAGTCTCATCGTTGTTACTTCTACAGGGAGATCTCTCTATAGGTCAACCAAAAATTAATGAAATTCATGTTGATAATTTTTTTATTTTGATCCATATCTTTTTGCCTGAAAATATAAATAATGCTAACCAATTATAACCAATATTATTATTATTATTATTATGAATTAGAGGAAATATCCTCTCAACATATCCATTTCCATAAATCCGCGATGTGTTCGTCCATTGAATGACTCCTTCGACGGTTACAGGGAAATCGAAAAATCAAAAATATCAAAATTTGCCATCGAATAACTAACATTTTATTTGAAATTTTGCGTTCAAATTCCGTATTTCAGCTACCTATATGCCTGAATCGAAAAGGTTAGTCACAGTTTCGGAAAAAGTAGGCCTTGAAAATCTGAATATTTCATATTATTTGTTCACATTCTCGAACAGAACTCGTTGAGTTGAGTACTATATTATGGAATTTTTGTTCTTGTAAATCGGTCGACGGGGTTAAAAATTAGATGGATGATGTTGTGAGTTGAAATCGCACACACTGTGGTATAGTATATTTCCACCACGGAATTCATGCAAGTGCGCAAAAATAATTTCTGGACGTGTAATGAACGATATTTTTTATTACACTTCTTTGGAAATGAAAAATATTATATAAAAGAGACACAAAAGAAACTTGGAGCATTTTTATTTTCACAGTTGTCGGAATGACAAAAACTTGGAACTACTAGACCAGGATTTTACTGGTAATAAATTCGCGGTCGCTTGTACCACATGCTCTAGGATATTGTCGGGAATTTCGGCATTTTTTCTGAGTTCATTTTGTCGGCATGAATTTGAGTGACAGAGAATAAACAATGCTGACAATACAGTGTTTGGCATGTATGATTCGTTGCCATGGTCCTTCTCAAAGTTTTTCCGTGCGCTGTTTCCGTGCGATAGTCCGGAGAAGCCTATCTTACAATATTACTGCCATACAGGGTGTTTCCTAGGTACGTGTAGAAAATTTAGGAGCATCTTTATGGCGTCAGAATAAAAAGAAAAGTTCGTATGAATATATGTCCGAAAGTTATTCGTTTCTGAGATACAGAGTGTCAAAGTTGAATTATAATTTTTATTTTTTGTTAATAAATTTCGAAATAATTGTGATATCCGAATCAAGTTCGATGTCTAGGGGTATTTTTCAATGACAATACCAGATTTTATGTTAGTTTGTCTCTTTCGTAGGGGTGGCGCCACCTACATGTCTTTTGAGTCTTTTGAAAAGTCATAACTTTTTTGTGCGTACCTGTATCACGTTTCATAGCAGTGGAATAGATTTTTAGAAATTTTTTGTGTGAAAAATATATTATATAATATAAATAATAATAATAATAATAAATTATTTTTCTTCAATTCCATTTTGAAATAGGAATCGGGTATTATTTCAATTTAATACTAATAATAATAACAGTAATTAGAACCAAATCAATACTACAACAGTTGGTTGAGGGAATTTATTAAAGTAATTGTTCAAAGTGGCCACCTTGCATCATCATGCATATGCGTCTACACGTTCCATTATACCAGGTGTATTTCCTATAGCGTCACATCCATCAGCAATGATCCGTTGACGAAGTTGATCTCCGCTTTCTATCGGCACCGTATAAACTAAGGCCTTCAAGTGACTCCACAAAAAAAAATTGTTTGGATTCAAATCCAGGGACCTCGGAAGCCAGAACTGATTTGGATCTTCAGCTCCTCGGCCAATCCATCTGAAGTAGAATATTGAATGAAAGAAGAAAAATGCACTGGCGTATCTTTTCTGACATTTACTTCTCAGAGCCGACTTACGAGCCGCATAGAAATAATTCAAATGCATCGATTATTTCAAATCCCAATAACTCGAAAACAGTTGCTCGCAGCGACCTCTACCAAGAATATATTTTTTACACAAAAGAAATCTGTTTTCCTACTATTGAATGTGATACAGGTACGCACAGAAAAGTTATGACTTTTCAAAAGACTCACAAGACAAGTAGGTGGCGCCACCCCCACGAAAGAGACAAACTAACATAAAATTTGATATTTTCATTGAAAAATACCCCTAGATACCGAACTTCATTCGAATATCACAATTATTTTGAAATTCATTAACAAAACACAAAAATAAGAATTCAACTTCGACACTCTGTATCTCCGAAACGAATAACTTTCGGACATATATTTATACGAACTATTCTTTTTATTTTGACGTCAGCAACATGCTCCTGAATTTTCCACACGTACTTGAGAAACACCCTGTATATGGAAACAAGTTGATTTCGAAGAAGTGTAATAGAAAATTCCTATCAAGAAGAGACATTGTGTCAAAGTCTCAATAAAAACTAGAGAATTAATTGCTGAAGTATTCTTGATGAACGGTCCAAGAAACCAGCGATTACCGAAAGATACAAAATTACATTCAATATTAATGAGATCTGAAGAATTTGTATCTACCAATTGAGATACTTAGATATATATACTTACGATGTAGGTTTTGTTTTAGTAACACAGTGTGCTGCTGTGAGAATATATCTCTCATTGATTATAGTTCCTCCACACATTTCTGAAAAAATATCTTGTGTTATCGATGAATTTTCTCTTTCAACCTCCCAATTCAAAGATTCATATATTGAACAAAAAATATGTTTTCCTCAGAATCTAGGTTATACTTCCATCGGTACCTATAGTCAATGGCATCTCGTGCTCATTTCAACTTCCAACAGGGGAGGATTAATGAGAAGTGGGACTGTGAAATTATAAATAGATCGATAGATAGATAGGCTTCCAAATGTATAATACATTAGCCTCAAGAAAAGGTGCGTTTTCACAAAAAATTAGGATTTTACAAACTAACCTTGGTCGATCGAGAGTGGCACATGATGCAGCTTCGGCAACAGCAGCAGACACAGATGCAGACCTAATTATAGTGAGCGAGCCAAATAAAAAACTCTGCCATGGACGCGGTTGGTTTGCGGACCCAACCAAAAGCGTCGCTGTGTACATAAATAACAACCGAATATCTATCCAGAAGACCCGTACATACGATGGATACTTGACGGTGCAATTTCCACACTTCACTTTATACTGTGTATATCCAAATATATCGAGGGATGAGTTCAGAAACAGACTCAGAGACATTATGGAAAACGCCAGAAGATGCCGATCTGAAAAAATTATAGCGGGAGACTTCAATGCCAAATCGGTCGAATGGGGCTCTCCTATCACGGATGCTAGAGGGACGATACTCATGGACTGGATTTCAACTCTGAACTTGATAGTACAAAATAAATGGGGTAAACCTACTTTCATTAGAATCATTAACATGTGCGAGCCAAGGTATCTCAAAACTTATAACGGACTGGAGCGTACTTGACGACGAGTCCATAACAGAACATACATTCATTGAATTCACTATAGATGGAAAACACACCAGCAGAAATGAAGGTTTTGGCACTATCGACTGGAACGCATGTACAACACTCATACATTGGTACATAGATGACGAAGCACCAACTAATTTAGATGAATACAACGAAGTTGTTGAAGGAATACACCAAGGAAGTCTAATGAAAAATGAAACACAAATAAGAACAAACTGGTGGAATGCAGACATAGCTCACGAACGAAAATAATGCATAAGACATGGAAGACAAGTGACTAGAATGAGGGCAAATAGAAATATCAACAGCAGGAGCATCGAGGAGGTAGAAGACAAATACAAAACATCGAAGATAGAACTGAAAAAATTGATAAAAGATTCAAAAAATGAATGCTGGCGAGAATTACTGAGAGACCTGGAAAATGATATTTGGGGCGAAGGTTATAGAATCGTCATGAAAAAATTCAACACATATGCGCCATATTCACTGACGCTAGAAGACAAGCACAAGGTCGTAGATGAGCTCTTTCTCATGGGAACAAATAGGTACGAATGTGAGAAGAGATGAAGTAAATGATGTCAGACTCTTCACTATAGAAGAGATAGATGAATGCATGGCTACCCTGAAGAATAAAAAATCACCAGGGCCAGATGGAATACCGGTAGAGCTATTGAAGAAAATATGGTCTGAAAAACAGAAATGAATTATGGGATTCCTCAATGGAATTTTATAACAACAAATTTTCCCTTCGAAGTGGAAAGTAGCTAAACTCATTCTAATTCCCAAAGGCACAATCGAGCCAGATCTGGAAATCATGAAGTACAGACCAATATGTCTGCTGAACACGATCAGCAAACTGTACGAGGCGTTGGTAAAGGGCAGACTCGAACAACACGTCGAAAACGTTGGTGGCATATCAGCTAGACAATTTGGTTTTCGAAAAAAGAGATTCAAGCTGTTAAGGAGGTGATCTCATTAACAGAAGACGAAAACAACGACAAATGGGGAGCAATAATTTCAATAGACGTCAATAACGCTTTCAATAGCCTACCATGGAGAATTATCAAGCAAACACTCAAAAGTCTGAGGACTCCATAATACCTGCTCAATATCATTGATGACTATGTTTTCGACAGAAGCCTGAATATTGGAGATGATGAAACGGTCGAAGTAACAGCAGGAGTTCCGCAGGGCTCCATCTTGGGGCCAACACTGTGGAACTTGGTATACGATGAAGTACTTAGACCTTAGAGAGATACCCAACGGGAGCAGAAGCAGTTGCCTTTGCCGACGACCTAGCGTTGACGGTACAGGCAAATGACGAATACGAATTGACATTCAAAGCAGAAATTGCAATTGATTTAGTAGAAGTCTAGATGGAGGAAAACGGGCTAACTTTAGCAGAAAACAAAACAGAAGCAGTGATAATTAAAGGCCAGAGGGAAAGGAATGATATCGTCTTTCGCGTAGCAGGCACAAAAATTCGACCTACTAAATCTATGAAATATCTAGGAATAACGTTGAGCAGAGGCAAGGAATACAAAGAACGCATACGTAAGACCGTGAAAAAGACTGAAGAAAGAATCGCAACCTTATCTAGGCTCATGCCAAATGTGGGAGGGCCTAGCAGCTTCAAAAGAAGCATGCTACATGAAGTAGTTCAGTCCATCGTATTATATGGCGCGCAAATATGGTACCCAACTCTGGAGAAAGCCAGGGTGTCCCTTTCAAAAAATCAAAGTTGTTGCTACTTTTCAAAATAAGCGGAAACGTCTTAACACTGTGAATATTTTAGGTCGATAGAACACAACTAATTATCCAAGGAACCAACTTTTCAGAATAATCCTGAGTTGCGTTATCCAGAAACGTCTAATGTGCCATCCACCGTGAATCAGCCTGTATAATTCCGATTGGTTTCCAAAACCTTACATATGTATATCAGTAATTTTTACATCTGGCGACCGTGACAGGAGGAAGCAAAGGGTAGTGATTTCTTGTGCAGAATAAATACTGCATGTGAATCAAGTCTGCATTGTTTCATACTATAATGTCCCTTTTTGAAAGATGCAAAATACCCATTCTTCTCAATAATCCGTTTTCTCCTATCTTCTGATGAGAGATCTTGAGCTTTCAAACAGTCCTGAATAGCATGTGAATTTCAGCAAAATATACAAATTGGAAAGTTCTTACTACATCCTGGGTTGCGTTCACATCCAAATCCATCTTCAGTGCGAGGAGCGTGAAGTGCTGGGCCATTTTTTTGTTTTCCTTCATTTTTCATCTGTTTAACCTGCTTCTCGACTGTCTTGAATCTCTTTCGTCCTGATTCGCCTTTGAAAAAAGTAAATCCAAATAATGTTATACAATCGAGTGATAGTAAATTGATGATTGTTATAAAGGTGACAAAATTATGATGATAGAGCAAAGTTTGATTAGTATTTACTCGTCCCAAGTTTTATTACAAACAATTGCTGTAAAGCATTGAAACACTGAAATTATTTTCGATCGTCTGGGGCGCAGTATTTGTCCCCATTATCCCCATTCCCTTGTATACGCGCCTGTCTACAGGGTTTATCAAAATTTTGTACAAGAATATTGAAATCACAATGAATCCTCATTTGTTGAATTGCATTTTGCAGAGATCTGCTAATGAGAATAATCGTACATCGTACCCAACTAGCATTTATAGTCGCGATTACGTAATTACGACTATTGGGTCGACTATTAAGTAATATTTACTAGTTGCGGTTACGTTATAATTACGTCGTTACTACGTATCTACGACCAAAATGGGGAACAAATCACGAGTAATTATTACGGTTTGCCGACGTAGCGGGAACTCACACAATTACGTAATGCTTACGACCCGTCGACGTCGAAATTACGTAAAGATGTAGTAAATTTTCCTACCTGACTTTCTATTTCTTTTCCACTTCATAAAAATATTATTTTCTCTCTTTATTATTCTTTATTTCATCCATGAAGTTCACATTCACGAAAAATGAACAAGTCCAATATGCCTAACCATTCAATAAATAATACAAGGACAAACACGCGAAATAATTGATACTCGAACTTGAAAAATTCGAACAACATTCAGTTTTTCGATAAATGTGATGATTTTGCCTCGAAATTCAAGATGCGCCCACAAAATACGGCTCATTTCACCAAAAATATGGTTTTATTTCATTCGGCTATTTTTCAAAAATCATCGTAAATCATGTTAATTTCCATTATTATGCAATTTGTGACCGAACGAATGCTATTATTCTTCATAAAATGATGTTTATCAACAAGAAAAACCAAAATTATTTCCTGTTCAAATGTATCACATCAATCAATATGGCTTCCAATCGAAAATGAATCAGAAAGTTACTTTTGGAACTCGTCAGTTATGATAACCTATGTATTGGTAACTTCAACTGAATATAATTACCGAAAAGTTGTTTCAACTATGAAGGAATTGTTTGAGTAGGAATTACCAATATGTTACTTGAAATATCACCAAGAATTGACTAAATTATTAGGTGATCGATCAAGTAACGACAACGTCGTAGAAACCTAATTGGTGACCATAGAGTAATTGCAACTGTGAAGCCTTCTTGGGGTGGTAAGCGTTACCGTAATAATATATCCAAAGTTCCGAAACCTTAAGAGTAGTTTTGAGGAGTGACAGTTTCGAAATAGTTACTTCGTAATAAGCCATGAGAATTTCTCACTTTGAAGTTATTATCTAGTGTAAAAACTACGTAATTTTCACTCACTAAATAACTATCACTGACATTTATACTATGAAGTTCTGAAATAAGTGATAAATACGTTATTATCACTAAATATAGGTAATAGTTTCTTGAACCATGGTGCCTGTGACTGAAAATGCTAGTTGGGTAGTGTCTTCGATCGATTTTGAAAACAAAATACCTAAAATTGTTGAGAAATCTCAGAACTTTATTGTTCATTATAATTATATCATGAAAGAATTCGATTCGCTCGTGAGCTGGCATCAATATTAACAGAAACCGAAATAATCGGAATTTCATTTATCATTGGCTGTGGAGATGAAATGATAATAAAGAAACGCATCAGAACAGAGAATGCACAAATAACCACTGAAGTTTTCGGAAATGTTGGAGCAGCATCTACTGCCCAGCCTCCATATTCGACAAAATCTATACTAATATTATAAAAAGGAAAGAATTGATTGTTCGTTCGTTCGTCAAAATGGCGGATCTAATATATCGGACGAGTTTTGTAATTATGGTCCGATTCTATTCAAAACTGGTATCTGGGGGTTTTCGGGGTCGGAAATTATGATTCTTGTGTCAGAATCTGAAAATTTGGGCGGAATAGGGACATTTAAGATGGCGGAACCAATATGGCGGTAAACACTGAAAATGATATGTCAATTAATGACATGCGCAAGACGTTGACATAGTCAATGTCAATATGGAGAAATAAAACATGAAATTCTGACCATGAGCATAGGCATATAACAATATTACAACTATTATTTCATGGTATTTCGAAGTCGATGGTTTTTCAGGTTTGCTCAACTCTCCCCTATATGCATCCCTCCTACATCTACATTCTTCAATAGTTGTAATAGATATTGTTATAAGCCTATGTTCATGGTCAGAATTTCATGTTTTATCCCTTGACATTGAAATTGACTATGTCAACGTCTTGCCCATGTCATTAATTGACATCATTTTCAGTGTTTTCGTCAAGTAGCGGTTCCATAAGGGCACGGGAAACCTCTTTTTAAAAAACAAGTTAATTTATGGTGTTGTCAAAAAACACAATTTTTGGCAATACATACCATTTTAAATGAAATATTCAAGAAAAACAATAGTATGCGCAATTTATTGAGAACCTGTTTTTCATTACCATATTTGAATTCTTGTCTATGGGCATTGACAACAATTTAAGAAACAGTAGCATCTCGAGTAGCATCAAAAATTTTTCAACTGCAAGTCAAGCACAAACTAGGTAATTCTTTCACTCCAAATATCATTTTTTGTTTTTGTATTGTAGACCTTTCAATTAGGCTGAAGATGGTCTTTCATAAGACCGAAACATGTCCCTTATGATTATGTAACAACATCATTAAAATTTGTGGAGATGACTTCGAGCATTCCTTCCTTCCTGTGACATACTGATCGAGGTTTGAGAAAAAACACCACCAACCTTCTCTGATGAAAATTATTGCCATCCAAGGGAAATCGCCCAATTCCGTATTTTTGCCATTTCTAATTCTAAATCTACTTGATGCTTTGCCACAGTCATCATATGGCAACAGTTTCAGGTTCTCATGCATGGAAATATCAGGAGGGTCCTCGAAGTCCAGGTATTTGCTGACTTTGCTGAGACAGCAAACTATTATTTTGTTGCCCGACCGATTTATACAGGAGAGACTATTGAGCTTCGTTCTTATTCTTCGTGGAATGGGTTTAGTCGATTTGATGAAACTCTCATAATAAGAATAAATTGAGTGGCATAGCTCGATTGGCATGCATTCACCTGGTAGATCATCTCGAGTTAGACATTTTCTTGTCCTAACTTCATTTTCAGCACCTGAAAATATCAATATTGAAAAACACCGTCGCCTTTTGCGAAAGGAAAAACCGATGACGCTCTCGTCAAACTATACTGAGATGTGAGAGGTAAACTGTCTGTAGGTTAATCGAGGAGGTGGTAGGTATGTACATTCATTTTGCTTGATCATTTTGGATTTTCTCTCTTCGTTTCAATAAATTAAAAATATGAGTATTATTTCAATATTTATTTATTTATTTATTTATTCATTTAAAGGAACTTCGTTCAACAGCTTGCGCCAATTATATAGGACGGAATCTTAAACATAAAACTAATGTGTAAATCTACTAATACTAACAAATTGATTGAATACACATATATACATATACTTACATAACAAATAAACTAGATGGAAAAATTCAATAACTTTGCACTAACAACTACTAATATGCTAAGTACATCACAAAAAAATATATGTATATATTTTCTGAATTGACTCGGCCGTTACTTACGAAAGCTCTGGAGTGCCAATGGAAAAAAATAAAAAGTCGAAATTTCGACTTAGAAAGTCGAAATTTCGTCTTACCAACTCGAAATTTCGTCTTACTAAGTCGAAATTTCGTATTAGTAGGTCGAAATTTCGACATACTCAACTTGAAATTTCGACATGATTGTTATCTCGAAATTTCGAGTTTTCATGAAAAGTCATATGAAACCGGCTTTATTCATGGTTCTTGGTTCTTGGCCATTACAAAAGACATCTAGATCTAGGTACCCACGACGGATGCCAGTTTTGGTTCACTTAAGGTGGCTATCACTGTTTTCTTAATTTTTCATCTTCTAGTATACAGGGTGTCCCGGAATTAGCCTGCCAAACTCCACCAGTAGCTTCTTTGACCAAAAATAGAAAGAAAAGTTCCAATGAACATGAGTCGAGAAATGTCTCCTAAGGGAGCTATGGTCCCCTGAAAGGGGGCTCCTGAAGATGATATTTCTTGAATATTTCCGAAACGCCACGTGATAAAATGATGCAATTTGGTACAAGAACTAAACTTTCCATGACCAGTGCAGTGAACATATATAAAATCATTTGAGAGTTTGATTCAGGAGTGTAAAATACAAGGTGGGACTAACATTAAATATTGCTCAAACTTTTTCGTGTGCATATTTTTTGACAATTTAGTCTCAGATTATAAAAATCCACACTATTTCACAAGAATAAGTGCTCTTGTTCCGCATTGATCATATGTATCATTCTCGAGTGAAATCGATTTAAAAATATTGATGCATTCACATCTTATGCATAATGTTGCCAATTTTTAAATCAAAGCGGCTATAAAAAAATCGAGTACTTTCTTCTCACCAAACAATCTCAAAAAAGCGCAAAAAATAGGAAAATGATGATGAGAAACTACTTAAATTCATGTGCATTTTTTTCCATTTCCACTATGTCTCATGCAATGGTATGCATAATATCTGAGACGTAACAATTAATATTCTTGAATTGCTTTAACTCGATAACAATACATCATCTGATCATCACGGAACAGTACCTTTTTTCTGTAAAGAGGTGTGTAAAATTTCATAATCCGAGATCAAATTGTCGAAAAATATGCAATTAATATTAATATAGTCCCACCCTGTATTATACACTCCTGATTGAAATTTTGAAATGATTTTATTTACACCGCATTGGGCATAGAAATGTCAGTTCTTGTACCAAAAGGCATTTTTTTATTACATGGAGTTTCGGAAATACTCAAGAAATATCATATCTTCAAGGGCCCCCTTTCGGGGAGCCATAGCTCCCTTAGGAGGCATTTCTCTTCCCATGTTCATTGACAGTTTTCTTTCTATTTTTGGTAGTAAAAGCCGCTGGTGAAGTTTAGCAGGCTAATTTCGGGACACTCTGTATATGAGTGTAAAGATTTTGAAACTTAGGACATATATTTTCAACTCGCTCTAAATAATGAAGATCGAGATACTAAGTACACAGGATACCATTCTGTGGCTGTGAGCTCAGACGAAATTTCGAGTTAGTAAGACAAAATTTTGACTTGGTAAGACGAAATTTCGACTTCCTAAGTCGAAATTTCGACTTTTTATTTTTTTCCACTGGCACTCCTGAGCTTTCGTAGTTACTTGATAGAAATCCATGGCGAATGTAGAAACTTCACAAACGATAAGATTTCCACAAAATTCTCAAACACACGACATGTTTCGCTAACACAGAAGCTTCGTCAATGGTCAAGTATAGTTTGAGAGTTTTGTAGAAATCTTATCGTTTGTGAAGTTTTTACATTTATGTGTATATGATCAGGTATCATTATTCATTACAAACCTCCTGTAAGCACGTCTGACGCATGTCAAAACTTGCCCCAAACAACTATGGTGGATATCACCGTCTCTATATATTTTATTAAAATTCGAACAGATAATGTTTACAGGTGACTTCAACATCAAATTTGCATTTGCAGGACTACATAGAATTTTTTGAGTTTGACGAGACCCAATTCGTGGAACATAAAAGTTAATTTTTGATACTATATCTGAACAATCCATTTCATGGTGTACTATTTTGTATAAAAATACTATTGACATCATTATTCGACGAAGCTAAAGAATGCTGAATTCAAAAATTTCCAGGGTATTCTTATAATTTCGTCCCCTAGGTGGATATACACCAGTAGTTTTGTATATTAGGAATTTCAAGAATAAGCTTTGTCGTACTTTCTCTACTTTATCACTATGAACCTGGTAGTGTGGATTCCAAATCATAGATCCGTATTCGAGCTACGATCTTACAAAAGAATAGTATAATGTTTTTTCATTACATGCATATCGGTAAATGATCTACAGCTTCTGATTATGAATCCAAGAATTTCAAGAGCATCATTAGTTTTATGGTCTATGTGCTCGATAAAACTCAAATTACTATCAAATATGATATATAAGTCTCTAGTAGAATTCTCATGAACTATTGCTATATCATTTATTATATAATGGTATAGAACTGGATTCTGTTTTCGATTATATGATACAGTTTTGAATTTTGTCGCATTCAGTTGTAATCTGATTAAATTGCACCAATCACTGATAATATTGGAATTGTTTTGTATTTCCAAACAATCATCAGCTGATTGCACATTTTTTAATATTTCCAAATCATCTGCAAATACCAGATTTTCACACGTCAGTGTAGCGCAAAAGTCATTTATGAACATGAGAAAATGTAAAGGTCCAAGATTTGATCCTTGAGGAACTCCAGAGCTGGCTGTGTATGGCAAAGACGCATGTTCGTTATATGTAACATACTGATGCTCCCTTTTATGTAAATACGAGCGATAGAAAGATATCATTTTGATCGATAATCCAAAATGATAAAGTTTTTTCAGCAGAATATCATGATCAATCCGGTCGAACGCTTTAGAAAAGTCAGTGTACACTACATCCACTTGTCCCTGCTTATCCATTATTTCAAACACATATTTGAGTGAAGATAACAAGATTTGTATTAGTTGAGCGTTTTGGCATAGCACCGTGTTGATATGTGGATATGATGTTCAAAGTAAATTTTTTTATATGATTATGTATCACTATATTTCGAATATTTTTGCGAAAATGCAGAGTAAGGACACGTTTCCATCAGGGAACTTTAAAGAAAAATCCAATCGTTGGTCAGTGACACTTTGTTTTGAAATTTATTTGAATAGAAGAAATATAGATATATTGAAAAATGAGCATTCATTTTTTTTTTGTTGATATAGAGATCTCGCATGGAAAAAATATCTCACGATTTGAGAATACGGTGGGTCCCTGGGTCGCATATTTACAAAACCTGCCAGACGACGGAACCTCGGCACCGGCACCAGCGCGCTGAAGTCTGTGAGCCTGTCTAGCCAATAGTGACGTTACAAAAACCATACAAAAACTCACTGATTTAGGCACCAGAGCGTATTACGAATCCTTTCGTCATATTGGGTTCATTTGGGTTTCGATTCCCGAACTGTTCAAGAATCGTTCTCGAACTACGTAGAACTAGTGCGCAGTCGTTTCGAATCCTAGGACTGTTTCAGAACGGTTCACAAATTATGAAAACCCGAACGCGGCAGACGAGAACATCTGAGAACATAACCTCTATTCAGGATTTCCATAAAAAAACAATAGTTTGAAACCTATATCTTTATTCGAATAATATCCTGAAGCTTCAAACTCTCCTTTGAGTCTAATCACAATATCTATGGAAACCCTCTGTGGCGGAATGGTGAATATATTCCATTATAGCATTCGTAGCTATAGATTTTCAATATGTTTTATCCCTTGTACCTACATGAGTTTCGACACCCACCTGAAATGGTCAATGAATTGTGTATCTGCTCCATTTTTCGAATTATCTTACAGAAGTTCGAGAATTATCAGATTAGGTACAATATTTTCAGCAACTTCAGCAAGTAACTCCTTCACCACTGCTTTCTGAAGATGAAGAACTATACTACTATCAACTGAATGTACTAACCCCATAATATTGAGAAAATGTTGAAAAGAGCAATTATCAGTAGAATAATAGTTATTTATTATACAAGGGAAAAAAGTTGTAGATTTTAGCTCCAGGTTGTGTTGTCTTCCTAAGCGTAGCGGAGGGAGACAACAAACCGTGAGCTAAAATCTAATATTTTTCCCGTGTATAAGACACTATTTTTTTCTGTGAGAGAAGAAAGGACGAATCAATATTGAGAAGATATTACATTATTTTAAAATCTGCAAATTATCGACGTGAAATTTTAAGTTTTTAACAGTAGGGTCACCGCGTTGTAGGCATCTTTATCATTCATTTGAAGTTTGAAGTAATCAAATATCTGATGTCACTTCTGTCAGTCTAATTCTATAATTTGATTCCAAAAAATTGCGAATTTTGTGATTGTCTAATGTCTAGTAATATTCGTAACCGCGAAGTCGAATGGAAGATAAAAGGACTAGCAGTTCTTTCTCGCAGACGGTATTATTGACTCATTTTTCGGAACTATAGCACAACAAAAGCC